CACTATCTCAAATAATCAAAACTGGTCCAACATATTTATGAAGATCAGTGGACAGGTTAGGATAAAGCTAGGATTTTGCAGATCAAAACTAACAGCAGGAAAATTAAACACAAGACATTGGCACACATGGTGTGTATGACCAATTCGATCAGCCAACCTAGTTATGAGATCAATCAATCAGCAAAAAAGATTTGCAAGTTACAGGGCAGTCCAACAGGCCATGATAGGTTATTTAAGGTTCTGTATGTTCTGTGGGTGGGTACTAATGACAAGCAGGTATTATCTAATCATGCCAATTTGAGTGTTCAAATCATCAATGTTTCTGGCTTATGTTCTTTGTTTGGTTTTAATGATTTCTGATTCTGTCTTAATTTTTGTTCTTCATGAGTATTCCCCTTCTTTTTTTTTTCTTTCTTTCCCCATTTACATCAAAGGCACATAACGTTTCAGTTGACTTATTATGTCCCAACAGGAGAAACTACATAAATTCAAGCTGATGTGATGGAGAACTTGACCATTCTCCACCCATGCTCAAACCATGTTGTTAGAGTTTAGTCTTTTTTGTTCAATGCTTGAGTTCCTTGCAATCATGACAGAGTGTAATGTATAAGTGCAAGTATAAGGATGTACAAGGTACGATCGGAAAGTTTCAAGACTGCGCGTATAAAAACCCGTACACTTATCTCAGGTATTAAATTCATCCATCCCCCTCGAAGTAGTTCCCCTGGGAGTGAACACAACGATCCCAGCGCCGCTGCCAAGCCTGGAAGCATCCCTGGAAATCTTTCTTTGTCAGCCATCAATAATCAACGATAAAGGAATGTTGTTCAAGAGCGTACGGTCTGCAGCATTTTTAGTAATTTCTAATTTTCAGCTTGATAATGTAAAAGAAAAAGGTACAATAAGTATCGCCATGTTTTAGTCATTTATCAACGGTGATCGTGAAATATTTTAGTAGAGCGTTATCACAACAGAAAATTAAAATATCATTTACATCAAAGGAAGAAGCAGGTCAGTTCTGAATATGGGTTCCCTCCTCTGGCCCTTTACCTTTAGTAGGGGCTCGATTTCCACTAACAAAATTTCGCAGATAACATTCAAGAACAATGTCAATCATCGGTCATCAGAAAGAGAAAGGTATCATTCACAGAAAATTTTGATTTCCTTCGGCTCGTCAGAACAAAATTCCGAGCTATTTGCAAACATCTTGAAGAAACAAACGTTCTCTGGTAAACTTTATGGAACATTATTAATCAAGACTTCGCTCTGGGTTTAAAGAGATTATGATCCTACAACACTTGTTCATATTAGCAAATGTCAGAATGGAGTAACTCTTGAAAAGATATCAAGGAATTTCAATTTTCATGTAAACTGGATACTTTTTGCGCTTACACCAATACATACTTGTGACAAAAAGCTGCATACATGAATGGATATGAAAAGAATTTGCACAAATGGATTCTAGCATAATTCAATAAACATTCACTACAGCATTAATACCAATACTACCTACAAAATACTTTTCAATAATGTCTTGTTGTAATCTTATCACAATAGGTCATTGTACATAAACACAACCGCTTCAATTGTTTCAACAGAAAGTCACAACTCATAGAAAACAATTTAGGAAATGCAAGCTTATGCATAGTGTGACAATACTGGCATACTTGCCAGAATTCACCTTTGATGTTTATGAATGGTACCAGCTATATCAGAGATACATGGGACCAATGAACTTTGAGTAACAATGTTCCTCTTTTAAAGAGGGCGTGTGAGGAAGAATAAAAAAAAACAGTCCAATGATCCTTGAGTTATGATATAACAGCATAAAAATGCCACTTGTTCCATAACTTTGGAAACCATAAGATGCCAGGAAAAAGTGTATCAGCATAAAATGTGTGTTCTATTTTACTCTACAGTGCTTGTTTAAACAACCTGCAGCTCCAATAAATATTTAACATGTTATGACTGAGATGTGTACAGAAACACACAAATGTCTTAACAAAGTGTATCCATTACTATGGACTGATTTCAACTAAAATTGGAATGTTTCTATTTTCTTTTAATTTTATTTATTAATAAATCTTTCTGTGTGTAGACTGTATGGTGTCATATGTGAGGATGATAGTAAATGATGAATTGGAAAGGATATAGAAAGAAGAAGTTGTGGACTAATTTAAGACTGGCACTGCCCTGAGGGACTGAGGAAAAGCACAAAAAACCTCTGTCGGGAAAACCAGTCTCCAGGCTGGGTGGAATGTGTTCACAAACTTTAGTAGACCAGCCTGATTTAAAAAAGGGCATAACAATCAGTTCTGCAGTTTTTGAGTTGTTACATGCAGACGACAGAGACCACAAAGCAAGCAGGTACATATCTGCTACTTTGCACATGAATAATAAAGAATTTACTATCTTTAAACCTTTAAAGCTCAATGGTAACTATGTCCTACCTGCTTGTATTTATGGGTTTCATATGTACAGAAAACCTCGTGTCTTACATATTTATCATCTGTGGCATTCTTAGACACTGACATAGTAAAAATAAAATCAATTCAGAATCAAGATAAACAAATAAATTAGACAATATCTTACATTCCACACGCTGCTCCTCCTAAATGAGCTGCATGGTCAAAGAATTTCCATCCTAAAAGAACACCAGCCGCATCTACTGCCATAATCACTTTAATTGCCTGCAATGATACCATAATATTTGTTATGACGGCAACACATCAGATATTATTCTGTAGATACTTAAGACAAAGAACACATTTCAATATGATCATGCTGAACACTGTATATCTGATATGAACGGTTTGGTATTTTAATGTGTTCAGGAGACCATTTTCCATAACACTGACTGTTCTTCTGTTTGTAGTGGCTAGTAACAAATTGATGGCCTCTTACATACTAATGTACAGCATACTTAAAAATAAATAAGGTTATTACAATTGGCTATATTCAGTACACAGAGTTACAACAATGAAATAACTTTAGAGAAACTTTTTAAGTTTCATGGTCAAATAAAGTATTTCACTTACTGGTAGCTGCAGCATGGATACCATCCTTAATGTTAAATGGTGTCACTGCTGCTACTGGTATTGCATATCCAGATATGCCTGAGCAGTGTTTATGGCCCTAGATGAGCGAGGACTTTCCTTGCCAGTTACTCTTCCAATTGGATGGGGCATCACCACATATTTACTTGGCTGTGAGAACATTTCTTGATAATCAGCTGCCCAGAAGTTGGATAGGGCATGGGGGGCTGTCACCTTGGCCGCCAAGACCACCAGACCTATCACCTCTTGATTTATTTTTCTGGCATTTCATCAAGGACTGTGTCTACAGACCACCACTGCCACAGTCCTTACGAGAGCTACAGGGCCTCACCAGATGTGGCTGCTCAAGTTGAAACATCAACGCTACAGCCTACTTTACCAACAGATATAATCTCACAGCCACATCCTTCAATATGGTGGCTGTACAAACTTTTGAGATAAAAGTATGACCTCAATAATATTTTGTGTGGTGTAAACCTCTGAAGAAGAAACAACCACTGTCTGGGTTCCCTGGCCTTTGAAGTTTCAAATAATTTCTCCTTTCCTTAAATTATTTATTTGTGCACTTACTGCAGCAGCTGGAAATGTGAAGAGGGGCAAGAAGATGATGGTAAGTTTTGTCTCTGGATACTCTGTACACACATATCCCAACAAACACATGATGGCTCCTGACTGAAAAGCAGATATGTCATCATATTAAGTTGAATATAGGACTGAAGTAATATACCAACATCTGAGGTCATAAAAACAGTAGTACCACTTAAAATAGGGATCTGAATGTTCATATTGTGATGGAAATTGAAAAAATATACAATTACAGTTCAGGTAATTATTTTGTAGAATGTAAGAAGCAAATGGCTACCATGAAAAATCTAGATTTATCTTTCCATTTGATGATGGTAAATAATGAAACATTAAAACTAAACATGTGATATAATGTCTGGTGATTGATCACAGATGACTTTGACTGTTTCTGACCTAATGTGATCCAGGGATGCAATTTTGCATGACAATGTGTTCCAACAATCAGACATGTTTGAGACCACTGTTGTGCAACAACAATGACAGACATGACCAGCCCATAACACACTCTTTGGTCATACCAGGGCACGAAGTTTGCAGATCAACACTGAATGGAAAGTGGAATGGCAAAAATTGGCACAGAGTTTAGTGCTAGTGGAATGCAAATGAGTCCCATACCAAGTCACATCGAAAATAATATTTATTATGAAAATACTTTCTAAAGGTGTCACAGCAGTAAACAAAATAAAATGAATGAAAGAAAAGCAGGAAGAATAATTAACTGTTTTTACATACTAAAATTCAGATTTGGAATATGTGCCATGCTAGGAATGCTGAATCTGATTTTAAAGTACTTTTATTTGTAAGATTATCAACAGTCCAACTTACTGCACCAAGTGAGAATCCAGGTTTCTTTATCAAACTTTTGTGGAAGTAACTAGACATCGATGAAATAACCCCAGCACTCATGTACAGCCCAAGAAACTGCTCCTTTCCCAATGAAGCAACAGCTCCTACAACAAAGCAATACATAGTCTATTACTAAATATTTCAATCTAATAAATTATCCATGTCAAAGAAAATGCAAGTGCACAGAGTAATAAACAGCTTATTTCTTACAACTGTTAATGGAACAGAAAACATGATTTTAGATAAATTGCATCACTGACCAGCTAGATACAAGACTTCATAAATGCGATAGTATTCGATGAAAACGGACAAATGTAAAAATGTGTTTGATAAAATTACCTGACAAAAAACTATGCAGAACAAACATATTTGCAAGGAGATGTATAGCTGAATAATGGCTGAAGGTGGAGAGGACCATAGGCCAACAGACTGCTCCTGATAAAAGGATCAAAAATTTGTTCTAACTACAGAACATAACATAAAAATATAACTTCATGATCATAACACTTTCAAACTGAATTTATTTTAATTTAATCACTTAAGCACTTTATGATATTTTCATTTAGTTCCATTCATGTTCCTGTTATTTTAACAAATTTAACACTTGCTAAACAAAAGTACTACAACAATTTCCTAGAACATGAACATTTCGTAGATGCCTGCACATCCTATACTGGCCGTTGAATTAACAACCGAGAATTTTTGGCATTTTTCAAAAACTATGCATAAAATATTAAACACCATGTTAGTAAATTTTGCTTATAAACAATGCATAATTTGTAGTATACTTTGAATCTATCTCCAAACTACAAGCATGCGCATGGCCACACAAAATGACACAGGAAAGCTGTTGATGCCTAAATGAGATATACAAATATATGTATGACAATACAGCTAAAGGAGGGAACTACAATACTCACTAGATGCTGGATTAGAACAGAAATATTGCACCATTATACCCTGTAACCGAGGAACTCGCCATGCTAGAAAAACTAAACAGTTCACAAAACATATTGGGAAGAAAAGTCTTTGTCCTTCAGTGAGACTGTTCCACCAAGTGTTTACATGATTACGCCATGTCCCATGTTTCTTTACAACAAACAGGTTTCCATGGTCCCAACCACCAGGCTTCTTCAACAGCAATATTGCTCTCGCTCGCACGTTTTCATACTGCCATATTGTAGCACAGACAAAACTTCCTGAGCTAATCTGTGGAAGTAAAATTAATGCAAGTAATAACATAAAATGTGATTGATTGTTACATTACTTTCAAGAAATGTTTTAAAATGGAATATCAAATGGGTAGAAGACTGTGAACAGCAAGTAGGCAAGGAATTTGAAGGATAAAATTAGCATATTTCAAGGAACAGATCTGCAGAGACTGAAGAAAGCTAAGAAACAACTCCATCAGTAACGTGGCTAAAATTTTCTTCATAAATAGCAAAAAGAAGTCATACAATTTTTATATGATAGCAACAGATAGGGATGGTGAGGAGTCAATTATCCTAAAATGAAAATGATCACTCACAAAACAATTTTCTGGGCTCGATTCAACATGATTTAGCAGTACATTTTCTCTAGCAACTGGCAAAGTAGGAATATATTTTAAGAATATCAACATCAGCAACTGAACTAGGGGCAGAAATTTACCTGCAGGGCAAATACACTATTAAAGAATCTATGCAAAACTGTTGGTACATGGGTGAAAGATACAAACAATTCTAAGTAAACAAGGGTTGTGACTCCTGTTTTCAGTAATAACGTTTTGGAATTACAGCATTATAGAACTTGCTTTTAAAATGCACCCTGTTGTGTCCAAATACAAGTAAAAATATTTGTTTTTGGTTTGCTGTTATATAAATGATGTTAGTACAGCAAAACAAACTGAGAGAAAAATAGGCATAACCAACTGTACAGTACCCTGAGGACAAGGACAAAGATGGTTCATGAAATATTAGTGTTTTCTTCATTTTATCATCTTACATGACAGGTGCCTGGACAGAAGTCATTATACTTAGTTGCTGTGAAAGCTTCAGATCATACATAACTGGTCAATGTGTTGCAAAGAAATGTGAAAAAAGGAAGAGTCATGTTTGCAAGACAAAAATCACATATTATATGCGTAACTCTTTTCTCATCTTCCACAACTATAACCAAAACACACATTCTGCAGTAAACTTATATAGTCTTACTCCATGAAGCAGAGTCCTTCAGTATCTAATTGTCACTAAAATCCCTGCCTGTTTTGGTCACATGAAACACCACTGAACCTGATCCAGATGAAACAAGTTCACATCCTCACACCCTTTTGCTTCGGAACCAAACACTTTTTAAATCAACTTACAGAACAATGACTCTAAATGTCTAAGTGTAAGCAAGAATGCATAAAAACTGTACATGTCTTTCATTATTTCACAATAAATACAGTAACTTACAACAAAAGTGAAACAGAGTGGTTTAAAGAGTTTTGAAAACTGTACTGGACCACCATTTTCTACTTTAACTCCTTCAAATTCTGTATTCAATGGACCAATTCTAGGTTTTGGGCCTGAAGACTGCGATCGCCAACGGGTTTTCCGTAGTATTGCAGTTTTGAAACATCTGACAGCATTGATGGGTGCACTGGATAAAAGACATTTTCCTTCGGACGAATCTAGACGACTGAAAAGTTAAAAGGATTGGTGTAACTAATCTAACTCGTTATAAAAATGTACTATACGCATGGCAAAACATAACTTCAAGTCTCACGCTTACCATATATTTAAAAATCCGCACCTATTTAGTAAACCACAGACGTGTCCCATATTTCTCGCCTGAGATGTCTAATCCACAATAACGACTTTTAAAAATAGATTAACGCAGATCAAACGAAGATGATATCCTTTATCCATGCATGTTCCATGCGAAACAGCATTATTCTTTTTTTTTTATATAATTTTCGAACTTCTTCTTTTTGTTGCAGCGCAGAGGACATATAATTGGAATACCATAAAACGCTTTTACAGGAAGATGTTCTTTTTCAGAAAGGAAACATATTCAATTATGATTAGTTTGTGGTATATAATCATATTTTAATTTTTGCTAATACTTCACAATACAATATACATATTAATAATCTCTAATACAACTGTCTTTGGCTTCATATTGTACATCTCTTTGTAGTTGCAGCTGATTGATGACGTCACGTAACCATGGTAACTGGTAAGAAAAGAAAACACAACACAGTAAGGAAAGAAGACGAAAGACGTTTTTTTATAAAAAATGGTTAAACAAATAGATGATCTTCTAAGGAAACTAGGATGGGCAGACGGGTTCCATATTCCAGTAGCAAGTGATGAAAATAAAGCTCTAGAAAAACAGGTAACACGAATTTTATGTTTTTCATAACTCACAAAACTTATTACAAGTGTTCACCAACAAATGATACACATATCATTGCCTTTAAACAATCTGTGTTCATAGGTTGAGCAGTGTATAAAAAAGAAAGGTGAATTAACCATTCAGTATAAGGATCTCACTGATCGAGTGAATTCACTCATGAGGTATGCTGAAAATGTTAAACTTGAGCAGCAACAGAACCAGGTATGTATTCTAATCAAGTACTCTTTGTTTAACTATAACTATTCTGAAAGAAGTGATAATGAGATACCAACTATTTCAGGCTATACTTATCGCACATAAAAGACAAGTGGAGACAGAGGAAAACCTTTACCAGCTGGCCCGGGCTGAACAAGACAGCTATGAACGGGAGTTGCGACTCATAAGTAAGGCCTTTCATGAGCTTGGAGAGAGACGAGTGGCTCTACAGGTATGTCAGAATGGTGTTAAAGGATTTTCTAATAACAGTCCAATAAATTGAGCAAAGTCGTCAATGTAGGTAGATCTTCATGTGCATCAGTCAGATATTTGCAAAGTCTAGCAAATATCATGTTTCTAGTAGAACATTTCTCAGAATTGCTTTATGGTAATTTATCTTTCTGTGTGAATGTTATCACCATTTCTATGTGTGAAATTATTTTGTCCCTTTCAGTACAAGTATGTAAATGTTTCTAGTAACTTAATTTTTGGACACTTTATAAACTGCATCCTCCTTCTGTATCCCTGTGTTAAGAACACAGGTTTCACTTCAGTGTTGTAAACCAGGAACTGCCATTACTTATATAACTTTTATTTTCTGTTTTAGGTGGGTTAGCATTTAATAACATGTTTAACAGTTTGCGTATTGCTTGATATTTCTGTATTGTATTCTTTAAATTTTCATCATATATTTAACATCTCTTATAACTGAAATGTAGAATTTATACACACTTTTTGATTTTTTAAACATGTTGCATAAAAGTGGCTTTTATATAAGATCTGAAGTTTTCATGGTGATGAAAGTTCAGATTATGGTCTTCAGGTTTGTAATGATGTGTAATCTTGTAGGTGGTTAACAGTGTTTTTGGAAGAATGTTTATCTCCATCTTCAGGGTAGAGTTGGGAGTTTTGAAGATCACAGTTCAAAAATGTTATGCAGTATTTCCTTTACACAAAGTTCTGAAGTGTGACTGAAGTTTTCTTCTTACTTTAAATTTTTTGCAGAATGGAATCATTACTCACACCGAGAAACTAGAGAAATTAAAAGCAAATGTGGAATGGGACAAGGATGTGTTGCGTTGTTGGGAGGAAGACATTGCAAGAGACGATGAACACAGTCAGCTACTGGCAAGATACATGACTGAGGATGAGAGTAAAGTGAAGGTGAGTGACATTGATTGAGTGTGGACTATATTTATTGTCTTTATCAGTTGAAGGAAAAACACATACAGACTGATTGATCAACTGCAGAGGCTTTCAAATGTTGAACTGTATGGAAACATGATCATAATCGTTAAGAATGTAAATATTTGGAAGGAAGTGAAACCAACATCTAGTGTAGTGTTACTTATGGTGTTGTAAAGAACTCACCATCATGATTTGTTTGTAAAACCATATTTTTGATCATATTATATGAATTAACTCCCCTTTTGCCACTGATTATGACCTCTTGGGGTCAAAACGCGTTTGGCACTAGTGTCATTTGTAGTGTTAACAGTTTGTTTGCTTATTTTTATATTCTACTACACTACATAGTATGCAAAGTTTTAAGATAATGAGCTTGGTTCTGCAGGAACTTGAATTGACTCGTCTACAATTATGTCAAGAAGTGGAGGAAAGAAACCAGCTTCTTAATCAAATTATTGGTGATGAACAATCACTTCAGCAAGTATTGGATCAAACAGCAAAGATGTTTAGACAAGCTCATAGTGAACGTCAAGAACTTATTAGCCAGTGGGAAGGTTCAGTACAAGTTCTACATCAGCGGGACCTTGATATCCACAACAAAGTCCAGGTATGAATGTCTTATTTGTTTCAGAGTTCTACTTAATTATATTGGAAAGTACATGCTACATATATTCATGAAAGTATGTACAACAAACCAGCAAAATCTTACCCTTAGTCATACATTGTCACACTTAAAACAATGGAGCTGTTTTCTTTCCATGAACAAAGAAGAAAGTTTAGAGAGACTGCATTGTAAATGTAGTGTAGATTCACCTTTCTTTTAGCACAGAATTCACATCTGGAACTTTAGAAAACAAACCTTATCCTCATGTGTAGTATACTGGTCTTACATCATTGCTTACAGAAAATCTTCCTTTCTCATGTGTTGTCTGCATAAATGAATATATAATGAAGGTGTCATGTCTGACTTCATGTTGTCTGAGTTTATTGAGTGAATTTTGATGAAATTGGTATTGGTGTCAAGGCTTCCCTATAGTTCCCTGGGCCTTTTGGAAGTATTAACCACTTTGACTGGAGTGCTACCATCAGACTTTGGTCATTTAGGCAACCTGGTCTAGGCCTCCTTAGGCTTGGGTGATGTCATGTGGCCCATTTGTTGTTGGGACCCGATACCACTTTGGCTCTCCCTTTCTTTGAGCTTCCTTGTTGCACTGCTAGAAATTTTGGTCTTTGTCAGGTGGAGCTGTCCTACATTCAAGGCTACCTGTTGAAGATCACCATCCTCCACAGGTTTACTATAATTACTTGCTCCCTGCAATGGTGTTCACAGAACTACTGGTTCCCAAGGAAGTGACCCTTGTAAATGATAACAGGTTTCTCAAAGATGAGTCCCTGCTCTCAGATGTCTGTTCAGCCATCTCAGGTCAGTGGATGTTATCAGCTGCTGCCTTGTGCCCCGAAGGGGTCATTAATGACACTGGTATCACCAACTCAGCATGATGCCTCACACTTTGTCTTGATGGACCAAAGCCCTGTTTTGTATGATCTGAAGCTGTTTGTTGTCAGAGATGTTTGCCCCCTCCATGACGAGAAGACCAAGAGTTGGATTTTGGAAGGGAGCAGACTAGCCTATCTGTGACTTGCTTCTCTATGACCCTCTTTTACACAATGTGATATTCAGGGAAAAGAAAAACAGCAAGAAATAAATACCAATTTCTCGAACTACAAAGAAAGGACAAAATTTAACAAACTGTAAATGTACTGGAAAAGCAAAAATTCAAATAAACATTTAATAAGACTTTTCAAAGAGTAAACGAGCTTTAGCAGATTTAACACTTTAAAGCCAAATATAAAAAAAAGAATTTAGTACATTAGTCTATGCAATTTCCACTATAAAAAAATGATTAAACATATACCAAATTATCCTTGAATTACATTCGACGCATGAAAAACACTGGCTGGCTGACACCAGTCTATAATTCTCAAATACAAGAACCTTGCATCATATGCATCTCAAGCAGTGCAATTACATGTTTGCCAGTCAACACAGAGAAACAGCAAACAACTAAAATATACTGGAAATTACATAACATGTTTTTGCTCACTCTTTGCCCCTGGCTGACACAGATTTTTGATACCACAACACACACGAAGATAATCACAGAGAAAGTTTTAAACATATTGACAATAGGAAAACAAAGAGGCTGTGCTCAGCTATGCCACAACTGATATCCCCTCACCAGTAAGAGACACAAAACAGACTTGGCATGTAAGGGAAAGGTAAATTCTGATTGGTGAGAAAATATCACACCATCCATTAGGGATAGATAGAAGGAATGGGGGACATAATCACAGAAAAAAGGTGAAGAAAACAACCAAGCAACTTCAGTACACAAGTTGGCAGCCATATTTGGGCTACCTCACATGGACAGTCCTGCTCCAGTAGAAATTAAATGGTGTTGCACTGTACTGAACTTATGTTTAATGATTAATTTGTATAGTCACAGATACTGGTGTATGGTGGGTAGCTGGGGTGGTGATTTACCAAGGCATTCCCTTTGAAATTACATAGGGAGTTATGAAAACTTTTTTGGGAACAATGTGAGAGTGGTGGTATATAGAGGAGCACCATATCACAATTTGACTACATGTTCTCTTCTTTTAATTCTGTATTCCTTAATAAGGCCTATTTTCCCCATCTTTATTGTCAGTTTTGTGTTAATAAGCATGAAACTCATGTATGTGCTTTGACTTGTCAAGAGACACCACAGACTATAATAATTTTGCCTTGTATGTTTTCAGGAAATATCCATGTTGCACTCTGAGTCACAACAAAAGGTGGAAATGCAAAAGGAGCAAAGACAGTTTTTTAGAAATGAAGTAAACAATAACAAGGAAACTGAGGCTGACATCTCAGTTATCACGCGTTCTACCATGAAACTGCAAAATGATTACAAGAAATTACTAACAAACGTTGATGACTTGGCTAATGAAGTGAGTGAACTTCTTTATGTATACCAATTTCACTAAAAGCTGTTTCTTGTCTCCTTTCCCTCCTTCACTCCAACCATCTTTTAACACTGAAGCAGTTTCTAATCATCTTTGCTTCAGTGTGTTATCAAAGGTAAAGTGCCATCCAGTGAGAGAAGAGAGGACTTTGTCTCAGGTAACGACTCTGTTGAGACACGAGCCATTGCAGGTTCAGCCACAAGCTTGAGCAGGTCACTTAAATGTGTGCATTACTAGAAGAGAGTGGTTTGTCCTATCTCTATGATGCGACAATACCTTACTCCGGCACTACACCTGATCACAGTTTATGATTTTCAGTTTGCCATACAGGCAGCAGTAGAACCAATAGAAATATCACATCGGTTATATTATTTGTAGTTGACATCATGTCAAACAGCAATATGGTCAGTTGGCAACATATGAACTTTGTGTGGAAACAGTAGCTGAGCAGGACAAGATGAAAATTGGTTTATGAATAGAAGCAGAAACTTCTGGATTGTGCTATACTACCATATTCTCACATATGTTCATCACCAGCACCTTTGCTTACACAAATATTTCTCATCCACATCATTATCAGCAGTTCACTTTTGGTGTTATTGTTCAGCTGGGAACAATGCGGCGCACTTTAGCAGGATGTGCTTCACACCTGGAACACCAGCGGCATAGAAATACAGTATTGGCCAGTGACAATGTGGCCAAAGAAAAACATGTTAAGGAACTGGTTGACGTGGTGCAGAGGACTAAGGAACGCTTGGAACAAGTTACTAACAGGACTGTATCTGCCTCAGAGAGGACACAACATTTGGAAGACATGATAAAGGTACTTTAAAATTAGATTTCATATACACTGGTACTGAGGGGATTTGTTGTCTGTGGGTAATTCACTGGAATAACATTTGTAATGGACATTACAGGTATAATGAAATTGTAATTTTTATGTATCGGTACTGAGGGGCCATGGTGGTCTCGGTATATAGCATGAAAATTTGGAAGAGATGATATCAGAGCAGTGAAATTGGAATTTTTAGGTATTCTTCTTACTGTAGGTTCAGCAAAAAGTATCTTATGGGCACATCCATGTCTGTCCATCACATTTTCCTAGGAGGCTGGCAACCAGCATGACTGGAGTTTTTACTATCACATATTGAAATTATTACTGTATATAAACTTGAATAAGATTTTGAAAAACAAATGGGGAAATATTTTAAATTACCACAACAAAAAATACATCTGTTAAGACAGAATTCAATTACCTGCACATATTGAGCAGGTCCAGACATGCCTGTCTTGCATCATTTAGTATTTAATTGATGGGTGTGCGTCATAAAATGTCTGTAGTATTAGCAGATCTTAACAGGTTTCATGTGGTGTAGGCTCTCTGACCTGAAAACTTGACAGCTCAGTGTAGTGATGGGTCCGACTAGTTCACTGTACCTGTTCCACACAACTCCAGGATTTAATTTGTTCTCTAATGATGTCACTTATAATTATTAATAAAATGTACAAGTATGATGTCTTCGTCTATGGAACAGAATTTTATAGTAACTTGTACTTGTAAATTTTAGTTTATTAGTTCATACTTTTGTGGAATATGCCCCCTCATGGTCTGTTGCTTGCTTAATAACAGGCCTAGTATTAAAAACTGGGTATTTCTTTGGTTTCAGAAATATTATTTAATATTAGTTCACAGTTAATTTTACCAATTTTGTGTGTGTGTGTGTGGGGGGGTAATCAGTCACCAAGATCCTGAGTTGTATCTGAAATTGGTTTAGTACTGTCTGAAAATACAGTAGATAACATAGCTGGAGTTAACATGCACACAATGTGAGCCAAGTAGCTCAGTCAGTATAGCTAGGTGATCGGGTTTGATCCTGACAGAGGCAGAGAATTTTCTTCTAACCTCAGCATCTAGACTGGCTCTGGGGTCCACCTAGCCTCCTGTCCAATTGGTACCGGGGTTATTTCCCAGGGGAAATGTGCAGTCAGGGCATGCTGCTCACCATTCACCCCCTTCTAGTGCCACATTGGAATATAAATGGATGGCTTTACATGCATATAGTATATTAAAAGAATAAAATACTGCATTTTGAAAAATATAAGGCCAAAGATCAAATTTGAATACCTTCAAAATATAACTGTGCCGAATGTTTAGTGTAATAGGTCACTGGAAAGGGTATTTTATTACCTCTAAAGTTAGCATAAAATAAGCTTTGCATCTCAATTTGCCCTTTTTTAGACAACTTATGCTCAAGAAATTTGTTTTGTGACAACTTCAGGTTTCTACTCTCAAAAATATAGTGGCTATAAAGCAGTAAAATTTTGCAAAATCACTCATCTCCATTCAGACTACAATCTCACAAAAAATCATTCAGTCCGCAGGGGTCAAATTGGAAATATCTCTTTTCTGTGTTGATTTGATGTGGGTTGACCCAAACATAAAATCATAGCTTATCAATTTTCTCATGGTGGCTCATTATACAGAAATTAATGTAGGACATAAAATGTAGATCTAATTTTAACTTGCAACTTTCATTCAGAACATATTTTAATACTAGCCATCCTTGTTGAAGTTCAAGAGCAATCCAAAATAACATGTGAAATTGTATTTAACAGTTTTCCTGTGACATACCAAGATATCTGGACTTTTTTTTTTGTTTACTCTTTTCTACAACATGCCATTGTACAAGTACAGTGTAAGACTGTAATTTTGAGACTTACAGGGTGAGGAAGTGGGGTGAAGGAGGAAAGATAGCGTCAGCCTTTAACGCTTTGGACTTCCTGCATTCCTTGCAAGTCTCAAGATTAAAGTCGCGTACTATAGGTATACTTTGGACACCCTTGTGCCTAACTTTTGAAATAGAAAAAATCAAGAAGTTTCCAGGTTTGTCTGTCCAAGAGGAATATTTTTTATTTGTACACACCACTTCTGTATTGTGCCACTGCATAAGTATTCTAGACACCCATGTACCGTACCTACTTTTGAAAATAGGGGGAAAATGACAAATTTTCTGGAGCTGCCTCTCCAAGATGATTTTTTTTTTCTGTGACACAGCATTGTATGTTTCTGTGGTTAATTTTGTAAACAGAGAAGGTACACACTTTTCCTAGGTTTGTGTCTGCAAGAGGAACTTTTTTTATTTTGCACTTTTTTATGGTGCACTGTTTGTAAGTCATATCATTTGGAAAAAATGATGGGACGAACAGATGGTTGGCTGCTGTAATGGATTAAATGAAGCAGAAGGAAAAATAATCACTGACTATGTGCAGTGTATTATGACTGTTTTTGTAACAATAAGTTTGTATCTGTAATAAACAAATACTGAGGTCTATGAAGTATGCAAAATTACAAACAGTACATTTGAAAGATATGGGTAACTTACTAGAATACACTTTTATATCTTAGTAAGATTTGAGATTTTCATGGCTGTGAGTCCAAAGATGGCTGTCTTCTGGGTTGTTGGGCCTGATGATGTTGGCGGCAAGGACCTCTGAAACGTCAGGAAACTTCTACCAGACTACACAACAGAACAACCCAGAAGACAGCTATCTTTTCACTCTTGTTATCTTCTGTGTGGTAATGTGAATTCAATGCCTAAATTATTGAAAATAAAACAGAATGACAGTGATGTAAGCTGTGATGTAAATTGACTGGATTGACAGTTATGTCTCCAGATAAGACAGTTGCAAGATGTAAAATAACTTCATAGCAGTAAGTAACTGATAAATAGAAAGAAATGTCAGTCTTTTATTTGTGTTTCCTGACTTATTTTGAGATTATCTCTCTACAATAACTGTGTTTATTCAGTCATTCTAGGATATTTATTTTGCAGGAAGAGCTGTCTAAGACACTGTGTATGTTTGCTTTCAGTCTGAGGAAAATAAAATAGACATCTTGGTCCAACAGAGAAACAAATTCAATGACCTGCTGTGTCAAATACAACAAGAACTGTGTGATCTTAAGAAGCAGGAGGAACAACAGCATATTGACATTCGTGGGCTGGAATCTGCAAAAGTTCAAGTTTTGTCCAATATTCAGCAAACAAAGAAAGACTTTTTATGCCAGACGGAAACTGTTTTCAATAAGGTAAATCATTTCACATGAATACTTTACAGTAATGTTGACAATAGGAAAGAATAGATGCCAGCTTGTACAGTGACAGTGCTGAGGCAAACCTGCACATGTGCAGTAAATTTCTCCAGAAAAGAAAACTTGTTTTCTTTCTTGGTTTCTTATATGTATCTCTAAGTTTGTTGTTAGCCTGTTATTGTTGGTTGCAATGCTATTGTGGTTTAGTGTTCTATGGATTGTTCCAGTCATGTTTCATGATCAAACTTTTATTTTCCTTGTTCACTTACTGAATGTCTTCCTCTTAGTCTAGTTGCAAGTACCTCAGTCAGTCATATAAAAGATAAGACATACATTAAACTTGAGTTAAATGGGAAAGTGTATTGCTTTAACCACCATTATCTTGTCTTTTTTGTGTAATTGATGTATTCATTATTACAATATGTACAGGAATTCGAGGCCCAGATGATTGAGTCCCGTATTCTTCGCCTCACAGGTACAGGTCAAGATGCTGAAGAAAAAGAAGCTATTGAGAAGAAGATTGCAGAGCTGGAAGAGGTCTTGAGTGAAAAAGTGGCAGCTTTAAATTTACTTACAGCCCAAAATCAAAGACTGGAGGTATGCCTGTCTGAAAACACAAGAAGTTAATATGCTTTAATTTATCCTATTAATGCTGCTTTTCCAACATTTTTATAATTTTAATCCCTCATTACAAGTTATATTGGACATAACAGAATAGGGTTCGGAGGTTGACCAAGGCACTCAAAGAAGATTCAGCAGAACTAGAAAACCTGGCAGGCAAACGACAAGATCAAATTCTGCTAACAGATGGAGGGCAGAAACAACTGAAACTCGACCAAGCTCATAATCAGGCAAAACAAGTGGAGGAGAATGTTCTTCGTCTCAGGGTGGTTCAGGCTGAGAAGGCAATTGCTCATGAAGGAGACAAAGTTTACTCACTGGAGAAGCAGAAGCTTGAGTTGGACACTGTAAGTTCTAGTACATTCCAGTGTGTTGTTATTAATGATATATGCGACTCTAAGTTTAATTCTAAGTACCTTTTGTCTGTTGATTTTCTAAAAATATGGTGTAGGATTGATAACATTCATGACTGTAAATGCTTGCAGTCTGGCATTCATTCTGTGTAATTCTGATGATCTTAAAATGATATGGTGCATTAAGTGACAAAATTAACTGTAACTGTCAATTCCCAGCTCCTGGCAGGAACTTCATGACTCACTGCCAGGTGCTAATAGCAGTTGCTGTAAAAATGATTCACACAACAGTGCAACTGTGTCTAACATCATGTAAAGTATTGGCTACTATTGTGTGTGTGTGTGTGTGTGTGTGTGATACATACCAGAAAAAAAGATAAATAAATAAATAACAAAGAACGCAATGAGCACAACAGATGATAACTAAAACTATTATATTAGAAAAAACAGAACCAAATACATATAGTTAATGCAAACACATGGGGAACATGGTGGTTACATACTGAACACAAAATAAGTCAGAAACTACAACACAAATTTAGGAAAACACTAGAAAAGCAAAATAAAAAAACGTGGAATGCTAAAAGATATCAAAACACAGACCACATATGCCAACAATGACATCCAATACCCTACAGTACTAAACCAATCGAATACAAAATTTGCTAATAATGAGATAAAATTATTAGAAAAGGGTATGAAATACAGTCTATACATAAAACAAAAACTGGATTGGAAACTCTTTCCATTGAAGTGGAAACAGCAATTTGTCAACTACATTTGCCAATACAAAATTATTACAGGCTTGTAGTCACAATGAATCTAAAAAATTAATAAAAAATATAACCCTAACAATGATATAAGGAACAAACAAGAGTGGTTCTGTACACCATATACAGCTAGAGGACACTTCTATCCTCTCCTCAAAAACCGACTACATGGATCGGTTAATCAGGGAAGCCATCGAGATCGAACTACATCCCGATAACTTTAACAGGGAAGATGGACTTCACCTGAGCCGGTCCTGGAAGCCTCTTATTCACACACTTCGAGGACTCCGAGAGCGAGCAAGAGTGCGCCGCCAGAACCAACCAGACCACTAACATGGCCCTTTTCAGGGCCCTGATCCATACAACCAAACTCACCTTTCTCTCTCTACTTTCTCTCCCTCTCCCACTCTCGCCCACATGCTACCATTGGTCCACTCCCATACCTGCTCCCATTGGCTCGGGGCAGGCTACACCTTTCACTTCCCGGCCTATAAACCCAGCACCTCACACCCTATTGGCATATTCATCGCCCTGATGGCGGAGGCAGTATGACCTCTGAAACGTTGGTTAACATCGACCAGACTACACAGCGCAATAATCCAGAAGACGGATATCTTCATACTCACCGCTGTGAGAATCTCAAGTCTTACATCATAAAAGCAGACAATGGAAAAACATTTTTCATATCACCCTTTAAAACATGATTTCCTTCAACACAATAAATTCTAAACTAGTACCTGAAAACAGTAAAACATTTCCTTAAAACACAAGATGTTATATAAATATAATACAAATGGAAATAAGACAACATGAATCCTGCAGCACCAAACCTACATGCAACGATAAAATTACATAAGGAAAATACGCCCATTAGTCTTGTAGTAATTGGAAGAATTCACCAGCATAAAACATCAAAATTTGTAATAAAACACTAAACGTAACATTAAACCTACCATATACATACAGTATCAATAATTCTGCTCAACTAATTAGTGATTTTAAATAACATAAATTAATGAAAACACTGGAGAATGCTCATTCAACATAAAATACATTTTTACAAACATACCACATGACTTAACATACATAACCCATGAGACACTATCAAAAGATAACAGAAACTTAGCAAACAACATACTACATATATCTCTTCTGTAGATATTTGTATGCAGCAAACTGCAATTTCTGGAGACATTATAAGTGTGCTTTGTATGTCACCATGTAGAAACATAATATGTTTACAAATTAACACTAATTTATTGTGCAAATTCAGGCTATGAAGGAGCGAAAAGTGGAGATTGGCATGCATAAAGATATCCTGTTTGTTCAGAAACGAAAGTTGAATGAGGATAGATGTTACCTAATAGCTGATATAAAGGCATGTGAAACCAAAATATGCCAGCTGCAGAAGAAGTATGATATTGTAATGAGTTCACTTGGACAGTCTGAAAGTGGAGAACAACTTTCAGTTACATACTTCAAAATAAAGGTAATGTAAATGATAAGAAAAGAAAGTGATATTGTTTAGTTTCGTGTAACATTATGTTCTCTTGCAAGGAAGAATGTGCTCCAAATAGCAATGCTCTCTCTCTCTCTGTCTTTTTTTTCTGAGGCTTGTGGCTATGAAGATATGTGTTGAATTTGAATTACTGTTTTATCATTAATCATATTATAACTTAAAAGTTAAGTTTGTATGGCATTAAGGGTGTTAATAAGTAACTGAAATTCATTATTTATACTGAATTATGGAGGATTTGGTAGAAAATATGTCTGTAAAAATCTGCAATGTTCTTGTTTCCATAGATTAGGTTTCTTGTCTGTACCAGTCTAAGAACCCTTATTCCAGCATCTCTTTTCTATTCCCCTAAATTTTAGCTTATAAGTCTGTGGACCCAAGTTATCTCTGGCCGCTGGTTTTCAACTATTCTGTCAACATGGCTTCTCAGTTGTTGTTTTTTGTTTTTTTCTCAACTACATTATGATCCTTAAGTTTGTTCTGTGTGACAGCAGTCAGTTCCTTATATCCATACACTGTACTGATTTCAGAGTGCACAAGAGAAATATGAGCTTCAGCAGCAAGGCGACAAACTAGATGAAAAAATAAGAACAACAGAAAAAGAAATTCAAGCTATGGAAAACACATTGAAGGTTATAAATTTGGCAAATGACAAATATAAGAAAAACTTATCTGCTGTGGATGAAGAAAGTAAGAATATACTATAATTTAATTTATGTTACAGCTTGTTTCTTGTTGACAGTTACAATTCAAATCCCTAAATAAGAAATTTTTAGTTTGAAATTGTTCTTTCCATGGTAGATAAGAAAGATTAGGTTTCAAGAATGTTAGAGGAACTTTTATGTTCTACCAATGACCTGATATAAAAAGGACTGTTCAGATTGAGTTGCCCTGGTTGTAACAGTTCATAATATTGCTGCTGTGCCATGGCATAGGTAAAAGAAACGAGACCTTACAGCTCAATTAAAGCAGACTGTTCATCAGTACTTTCACACTTATGTCCCTTTGAAAAACAGAGAGTTATACTGGATTGTGAGTCACTGGAGAAATTTTCAGTGCATATCAGTTCATAATTAAATTTTCCTTATAAACTCTAAATGAGTACTTTGAAGTCCCAAACTAAACTAAGAAATACATGTTCATATCTTGTGACCAGACTAACTAACTAACTAGATGGCTTACGGATCCCAAAGGTTCATCACCGACTTAACCAAAGCCCTCCACCGGACCCTGCCCTGGGCCAACAAAATCCAGTCTCCTTCAACTACTATCTCCCATAGATCCCACCTTGCATTATCCTCCCATCTTTGTCTAGGTCTCCCCAGCGGTCTCTTCCCCTCAGGCTTCCCGACCAATACCCGGTGCACACCTCTTGCTCCATCCATGCACGCCACATGCTCAACCCACGTCATTCTTCTCAACTTAATCACCCTGACAATATTGGGGGAGGAGTACAGATTTTGAAGCTCATCATTATGCAGTTTGCTCCATGCCCCATCGTCTTCTCTCCTAGGCCCAAATATCCTTCTCAACACCCTATTCTCAAACACCTGCAATCTATGTTCCCCCCTCAGAATTTCGCACCCACACAAAACAACAGGCAAGATTATTGTTTTGTATACTTTAATTTTCAGGTTCTTAGAAATCAGATGGGAAGACAAAATATTTTGAACTGAGAAGTAGCAAGCATTTCTGGAATTTAGTCTCCTCCTAACTTCCTCATGAGTATAATTTTGATTTGTTATTGTTGTTCCCAGATATTTGAACTTTGTAACACTTTCAAAGGATTTATTAGCCACCATTGTGACCAGACTGCAGGGCAAAAATCATATTATAAAGATAGTTATTAAATTTCATTTAAGTTTGCTCAACTTAAGATATTTGGGGATGGTGGTTACAGATCAAAATACCATACCTAAATAAATATGAGGAATGCTTGCTACAATAACTCATTCACGTACTCACTCACTCACTCACAGGATATTCTTTGAAAAGTCGACTGTATACTCGGCTTGTCAAAGAATAGCCCCCTTTCTTTAAGGAACCCCTAAGGTTCATCACCATGTTCACAAAATCCCACCACCGGACTCTGTCTACATCCATTTAACTCCTTCAATCCCATCTCCCTAACATCCATCTTAATGTTATCCTCCACCTATGTCTAGGTCTTCCTAGCAGTCTCCTCCATTCAGGCCTCCCAACCTATACCCTGTAAACACACCTCTTCCCTCACCCATGGTTGCCACATGTCCCGCCTACCTCATCCTCGATTTAGCCACCCTAAGAATGTCAGGTGATGACTACAGACTGAAGCTCATCATTATGCAATTTTCTACATGATCTGTCTTCCTCCCTTTTAGGTTCAAATATCCTCCTCAACACTCTGTTCTCGAAGACCCTCAATCTATGTTCCTCCCTCAGTGTGAGAGACCAAGTTTCATACCCATTCAGTACAACTGGTAAAATTACACTTTTGTGTATTTTAACCTTTTGTGTTTTGATTTCTACAATTCACTTCAGAATTTTTTGTCTTCCCTTATGCAATCCAAAACCACATATATTAAAATATACAAAACTATGATGTTTCTTGTTATTTGCATGGATATAAAATTGGTCTCTTAATCTTAATAAATGTTCAAGTGGAGAATACTGAGAAGTATATTTGAAGATAACAGAGAGGTAACAGAAGGCTGAAGAAATTGAGAAACTTCAATATTCGTAGCATTTACCAAATATTATTATGGTCATGAAATCTAGGAGAATAAGATGGGCAGGGCATGCCAAATGAATGAGAGTAATTAGAAATGCATACAAAATTTGACAGCAAACCTGAAGGGAATTGGAAGCCAAGGTACAAATGGAGGTGATCAAAAGTTGTGCAACCCATTCCTGACAAGTGTTCAGTTTGTCAAAAAATAAATTACATTGAAATAAAAAAAACGATATTATATGCAGTGTTGGAAGTGTCCACCATATTAAACAATAGTCCTTACCTCATGTATGATGCAACTCAGTGAAAAGTTCCTGTATCACAGAAACAGTTCACCAGATATAATACTGTGAATTTGTTTCGTGAAGGAGAATTGGGAAATGGATCCCTAAACTCATTCTGGCAAGTTAAGTAAGAACAAGATGCCAGCTAATGTTTGATTATGGACACTTGTTGCATTTTGAAAAAATATATCCTAGCACTTTGACTGTTTGAAGACAGGTGATGGAATGGTGCATGCAGGTTACAGCATGATGTGGCCTATATGACCTGTTGTATAGTCACAGTGAAATTTTGTGTTTGTTAATCAAATTTAATTGTATTAAAATGTGTCTTAAAGAAATGGGGAGTAAGGTTATAGACCAGATTCTGGGTCAGGATAAAGGTAGTGGTGGGCTGTTGTGAACACGACAAGGACTCTTCAAATTCCATAGAAGGCAGGAAGTTGCCTACTTGGGTGATATTTAGTGTCTCAAGATGGACTGTGCTCTGTGGGGTTGGTTGGTTAGTTAATGAATGGAATGGCCAAGAGATGTTATTTCAACTCTTATGCTGTACATTATTTTTCATTGCTTCGCCAAAAGAATCCAGTTTTATAATAAAAATCCAAACTCATTATGAGGGTCAGGTTATTATGTGCATGTGTGAATAAAAATCACAAAAATAATTAATACTCCGATAAATACTCAATTTTATGTTTGCTGAACACTTTTTTACAATGTTATAAATTATAAAAATTTATAAACATGAGAAGTGTAAATCACATCAAAAACTCGAAGCCCTTCTACAGCTGGCAGCCACGTTTCAGTAACAAAGTCGTTTCATTTTTAAGCACACTCTCAAGGCCTCTTTACAGCCTTTTTTATGCTTATTCTTGCTGTAATTTCCTGATGGTTAGTTACTTTTAATCATAGTTTGTTGTCCTACTTAGTGCATGCAATTCAACCATACAGGTTTCTGTGATGTCATCGATGCTTGTCTGCCTCCAAGTGTATACGGGCGCAAACAGCCACAGAAACTGACACGCCTCTAAGAACACACACACGCTCATATATGCATTCGAAACACAAAATTTGCAACAGCATGCAGGCTCTGACAACTTCACATTGTTCACACTATAGGACAGCACAAAAGTGTAATTTCACAATTTAGGAGTAGAAATGAATGTTGCAGCAAAAGGAGATTATTTTTAATGTGGAATAAAGTTTAATATCACATAGTGTACTAATGCAGTCAAATGTAGCAGTATAAGGGTTAATGGTTGACATATTTTCATGTTCATATGACAGGCAATATTTCAGTAATTGTTAAGTATGTTTCATCATCTAAGTGAAATCATCACACAAAAGGCCTCATAGGTAGCATTTCTCTATTTAAAATAAGCACACATCAAAATGAACTGTTGCTGCTGTGATGGGTAGTCAGTAAGGTGTCAGATTACTTTCACATAACAGAATGTAAATGCACAGGTCTGCAGTATAGTAAGTGGGCTGGTTGAGTGATATTACCTTCCCTTGTAAGAAGTGTGCCTGACTCCTTGTGATGTATGAACACCTCTTTGGGCATGTTTTCAATCTGTCATTCCATTTAATAGTTACTGATAGTTAATAAAAGCTAACAGAAGTGGAAGCATTTACTCCATTGAAGTACACATTTCTTCTAATTAGCCTTGATGTTCATCTGTTGGGTACATAACTTTGTTGCTGCTGAGCTGAGTGCCCTGCAGGTACTTGACTGTACTGAAGCAGAATTTATTTTTATGTGTATTTCACTAAATAGTCACCATGTGAGAAAATGTTTCAAATAAAAGTTGTAGATTTTAATGAAAGTTATATTTTATATTACATGCAGTAATCATTTTTAGATGAGCCTGATAGCTCAGTCAGTAAAGTGACAAGCTATGCGCTGGGAGATCGGGGTTCAATCCCCGACGGGGGCAGAAGATTTTTCCTCTAGCCTATGTGTCCAGACTGGCTCTGGGGCCTCCTGTCCAATGGGTACCGAGATCCTTTCCCAGGGGTAAAGCACGGCCGGGGCGTGATGCTGATCACTCACCCCCATCTGGTGCCGATGTCAAGAAAACGTCAAGAAAGAGTAGGAGCTATACCTCCGCTCTCCCCCCAAGTGCCTGCATAGGCATGTAGCGGGACTCTTTACTTAATCATTTTTGAGTGACAATCTATTTTTTACAAAGTATCTGAAGTTTGAAGATTTCTGTCTTCTGGGTTGTTGCGCTGTGTAGTCTGGTCAATGTTAAGAAACGTTCGTTAACATCGACCAGACTACACAGTTCAACAACCCAGAAGACAGAAATCTTCATACTCACCGCTGTGAAAACCTCAAATCTTACATATCTGAAGTTTGATTTGAATTTTTTAATACCTCCCTGGAGGTTTTTTGATCTATTTAGACATCTCGTAGGACTCCTTGGACGAGTGATCAGCCTGTCACAAGGCCTCTACCTATACGCAGGACAGCACAACACAGAAAGACATGGATAACATTCATGCCTTGAATGGGATTGAAACCCACGGTCACAGTGTCCAAGCGCACGAGACTCAAGCCTCAGACCATGACTGGCTTTGATTTGACTGATAAACCAAAATATAATTAATCTAACAAGATTTTAGTGCAGTCTGCACTGCATAAAACTGCATTCAGCAGTTCTGATGATGGACTGATTCGTAAAACCTCTCTTCTGCATTCAACTTGGGCATAATTTTCTGTATTTTTTCTGCCTGTTATTGGTAGTGTCATTTTGCAGGTGATGAGTACAAAAAGAAACAGGAACTGGAGTCTCAATATTATGTTGTTCTTGACACACTCAAACACCAGAAAACAAAGCTCAGTGAACTAGACAACCAAACTAAGGTAACTCATATAATGTGAAATAAACCAAACTTAAACATGCATTCACTTCTGTGAAGAAAAATGTTCTCATACTTTACTCAATGCAGTTTATCATTTTCAGTGTTTATCAATTGGAATAATAAAAATTGGCAACACTTATATTGGTAATTGCTCTTTAGAGACTATCATGAATTTGGAAAAATGTATGTACATTAATAACAGCCCACAATTGCTGATATTAAGGGCGAGGGAATGTGTATGTGCTGCATAGTAGCACCTTGGAAACTGCTAGGTGCTAACAGCTTTGCAATGTGATTTTGAAAATACTGTGCTTACTTACAATAGGCAACTGTCTTCATCTTATGAAGAACAAGTAGACACATACCTTCTGCAACTTCCACAATCCTAATGCAGTGCAATCTTTACTTAGAGCTGGATCATGATCCTTGTGTCCTTGTTACATAAATTTAATTTTTATCTAAAACAGGAAAAAATAATTCTGTAAGGTAATAGAAATTTTGAATGAATGGAATCACCTACAAGGGTGTACAGTGGCTCATTTTAAAGCTAACATTTCCCTGATGTCTGCAAGATGAACACTTTCAGTGTAGATTCCAGTAAACTTTGTCAGCATCTAATTATTAGTTTGGAAACAGAACATGCAGATTCGACTGACAGACCCATTAATGTTATGCATTCTTTGAAAGAAATGCATAAAAGGAAAATCCAAAGAAGAAATAAAAGGAGTCATACACTCAAGGTGAACAAAAGCAAATTAACAGGGAGTGCTACAGTAATGGTTGCACAAGATGCATATAAAATATTGCCATTCCTTAAGTTCTTTAGATGCTATGTGTGACTGTAAAGTGAAATACCTGTCACCGTTTGTTGTATTTATTTTCAGGTACTGGATCAAACTTTACAGGAAATTTTCATAACACATGGCAATAAATATTTTATGTGGCAAAACAAAGATCAAGAAGCAAGTGACTTAGACAAGGATCTACGAGAACAAACCATCAAGCTTGAACGTGCTCAAAAACAGCTTCACAAAACAATGAGAGAAATAAAAGGAACCAGACAATCACAGCCCATACCATTTTATTTGGTTAGTCTGCATTTTCACATTTTGAACTCACTTCATCATCTTGGTATCAGAGTAAACATGTACTTTAGTAATGAAAATTCCTGGTTATCAGCCTTGATGATTAAGTCAATACAGTAATCTATGAACTAGGCAACCAAGGTTTGCTTTCCAGTAGTAAAAGGATGACAAAACCAGTTCTGAAGCCTGCTTATTGAACACAGTGGGAATAAAGCAGCAAGCAGTTGTCTTTATCTTCCCT